TGTCTGGATAATGATATATCAAAACACTGTTGCCGACCGCGGAGCTTTGGTCGTGGTGCCCTGGGCGAACCCAAGGACATCCCAAGATGGCCTCATAATGGCCCCAAGACGCAACAGGCTGCCAATGCTGCCCAAGGGAAAGGAATGCAACGGTTTCGGTGTGCAGAGCCTCTGGGACGGCCCAAATTGCCTCCAACATCGCCCCAAAATCGAGAACCGAAAGATGTCGAAGGCGGCCCAAGAGGGCTCTAAAACGCGCCATGAAGGCCCTAAACGTGCTTCATGGAACCCAGCAGTGCCCAAAAACAGCCGAACATGGCCCCCTGACCGCCCCACCAGCCCAAAGAGACCCCCAATACGTCCAAGAGGAACCCACAGCGGCCCCAAAACGGCCCAACATGCCCCCCCAAAAAAAAAACCCAAACGGCTTCAAGAGACTCCCAAGACGGGCCCTCTCGCAGCCCTGGACGAATACGGCGACGGCCTCATTGTGCATATATAGATAAAAAAGAGAGAGAGAGAGAGAGAGAGAGAGAAAGAATGAGAGAGAGAGAGAGAGAAAGAGAAAGAGCAAGAGCAAGAGAAAGAGAGATTATATATATACAACGTATACACATCGCTACTTGAACCAAGCGCGCGCTACGCGAGCGCTTAAATTCTAGTCGCAGATGAACCGCGGATGCCGTTGTAAGCCCCGCTGTGGCCACAACACCGATTTCCAGCGTTCTCGGGCCCATGCCATCGATGCAAAACGCGGGGCGACACGTCCCCGCGTATCTCACAATCTCGATGCCGCCTTTGTTGGGTTTATCGAACTGCGTTTTTCTTCACTTTCACTTACACTCTGCCCCGTCGTGACATTCAATGGTTTTGCATCTCTGTTGGAGCGCGCTGTTTTTGTGTGTTGTTCCTCCCTCTTCTTTGTGTTCCAAGCTTCTCGTTTTCAGCGGTCGTTCAGCTGTCGGGAATCGGCAGAGGGCGCGCGCAGATGTCCCAGTCATCAGAGCCCTTCTCTGCAATCAATTGTTGTCGAGTCCGTCCGCGGGAGTGGAGAAATTTCTTTGCGCTGGACGCCAAACCTATGCTGACGATAATCGCACCCGTGGGATCAGAACGTTCGGGCTCACCAGGGATGCTAAATTATTTGCCAGGCAAGTCCCATGCATGGGATTGCCTGGAGCTCTGACGGGGCCTCTGGCGGTACCTTCTTGGCGCTCAGGCGAAGCCTTTTCAGAAGGTGAGGGATGGGCACGAAACCTGAGAAGTTATATCGTATAGCCACACCCCGCTCGCTCGGGTGGGTCCGCCCTGCAAAGGTGGGAGGAGCAAGAATCGCGTGAGTGAATATGGTGTCAGGGTGCTCCGCTCTCTCTGGCGGAGGTTTCCCTAGCGCTTTGGCGGAGCTTGCCCAGGAGGGGAGGGAGGAGCATGAAACCTGAGGAAAACTAGGGTATAGCCACAACCCGTGTGCTTTGACGGGGCTATCTCAGATACGGTGGGAGGAGCAAGACAGAACAGGGACTGCACATGGTATAGCAACACCCCTTTCGCTCTGCAGGGGCCATCCTTGAGGGGTGGGAGGGGCAAAACAACTTCTGAATTATGATACGGTCTAGCGATGTCCCGCTCGCTTTGGCGGGGCCTGTCTGGCGCTTTGGCGGGGCCGTCCAAGGAGAGGAAGGAGGAGCACGAAAGCTGAGGGGTGAGGGGAGGACGAGGAGAGAGGAGGGAATGGAGGCAAGGGGAGGGGGCGGGAGGGAAGGAGGGATGGAGGGAGGAGGCCCGGGCCATCTGGGCCGTCTTGGCGCGCCTTGGGGCCTCCGCTCCCGCTTTGCGGCCCAGCTTGGGCCTGTCTTTGGGTTCTCTTGGGCCGTCTGGGGCTCCTCCTGGGCAACTTTCGGGTTCCCTGGGGCCGTCTTGGGGCTCTTTTCAATGCCTCTTCGGCGGTCTTGGGGCGGTCTTGGGGGCGTCGTCGGCCGTCGTGGAGCGTCGGAATGTCGCAAACGCGAGAAAGCGAAACACATAGAAAACAAAATTGGAAATCAAGGAGTTGGGCCTCTTCGGGCTCTCTCGGGACGTCTCTCGGAGCTCTCTTGAGACCTCCTGGTGGCCTTTTGGGCTGTGTGTTTGCCGTCTTGAGCTCCTCTTGGGCCACGTTGGGATCATCTGGGCCGTCCTGGAGCGCCTTGGGGCCTCCCGCTCCCGCTCTATGGCCCATCTTGTGCCTCTCCTGGGATTCTCTTGGGCGGTCTTGGGCTGCTCTTGGGCAGTCTTCAGGCTCTCCGGGTCCGACTTGGGGCTCTTTTTGGGGCCTCTTCGGCGGTCTTGGGGCGGTCTTGGGGGCGTCTTCGGCCGTCTTGGAGCGTCGGAAGGTCGAAAACGCGAGAAAGCGAAAAACATTGAAACAAACGACCGGAAATCAAGGATATGGGCCTCTTCGGGCTCTCTCGGGACGCCTTTCGAAGCTCTTGGGGCCTCTTGGAGGCCTCTTGGGCTGTGT